GTTCTGGATTATTCATTAGAATCTTTAATTTTTATTAGAGAAATGCCAACATCTGCCAAAGACTAATTTTCACAAATGTTAGAAGTATGCTAGAATGTAGACAGACATGGACTACCACAAAAATGTAATTGTTAACCTGTTTGTAATTTCGGGAGACTTTATTCTGACTCTTTACCTGGGTATGGATCACACTTTTGTCTGAATTATTTCTGGTTCAGGTGATTGGCGCTCTGAACGGGCCTCTTCTGTGTACTTCCTGGGTGACATCATAAACATAGAAGCCTCAGTTCATCTGGGTCATCACGTTAACCTCAGTGTATATTTTGAGAGCTGTGTTGCCACAGTGACCCCAGATATTACGTCTGTACCCAGATACACGTTTATTGAAAATCATGGGTGGGTACATGTTTTTTAATCAGAGTTTTGTGCAGCAAGCACCACTCACTCAAATGAAAAATTATTTGGCTAATCACCAAGTATATTTGTGTGTTGTTTTTCCCCCTCCCTCATTAGTTGTTTGATGGATGGACAGATAACAGGCTCAAAGTCTCGTTTCCTTCCCAGAATCCAGAATGAAAAACTCCAACTACAACTGGATGCTTTCAAATTCCACCAAGAGACAAAGCCAGAGGTGTATATAGTGTATTCCAATGGAAACATGTTCTCAGGCCCAAAATGCCATGAAATAGCCTGTGAAGATATGGCAATAAACCTAAATTAAACAAACTCAGGCCCAAAAAAATAACATGGTGATGGAGGGTTTATATTTGCCTAGGTTAATAATATTGGAGGAAATGGGAGTGGTGTTAATTTGTTGTACACATTGAATTCTGATGTCACTCAGTAGTTAATTTTGAATTCAAAATTACTTCTCATTCAAAAATATTTCTCACTTTGTTATACAGATGTACATCACTTGTACTCTTCAAGCTTACTCTGTAATGGATGTAGTTAACCCCTTTCATAAAGCATGCTCCTTTATCGATGGAAGGTATGAAGCTTTGCTTTCGTACTTGGGATTTGTTGTCTAGTACAGAACATTTAATCATGGACTCTTACTGTTTGCCATGCAAACTGTATTTTCTGGTACTTTTGTTTCTTTTGGGAACCAACCTCAAGTTTCCCTCGCTCCCCTCTTTAATCTACAAGCTGGAAGGCTGCAGATGGTGGTGACTGGGCTTGTTACAGCTGCCAAGCAACAAAAGATTATGCACCATCCTTCCATTCTACACTGCAACAATCTGAGCCACCTTCTCCCGGACAAGACCAGACCTCATCTTCCCAAAGGCCCAACAAATTTCAGGCCAGGATTCAGGAGGGTTCTGGAAGTTCCTTCAAATCCTTGCTAACCGCAAGTGAGCCGGTTTTCTCCTGGAGGAACATAATTCTCCCAAAAGAGGAGGATGAGGGAATTGTTTCAGTGGGTAAGCATTCCCAGGTCTAGTGATTGTCTGTCTTTTTAAGAGAAATTACCCTGACAGCACCCAAAGTCATTTATATAATCTGTGTATTTATAAATTAATGCCAAGATCTTTATTTAAATGGCAGGTAAGCATGTTTCCTCTAACTATTTTGTCAAATGTGGCTCTGTGTCAATAGGATGGGAACAGGAGAAAACAGTGGGTCCACTAGCCATCCTTCCAAAAAAAATAAAAATGGGATTTCTGGCTCCTCCCAGAGTGAAGCAGGGTGTTCCACCAGTCCCTTCTCTCAGTAAAGATAAGAAACCAATACCTCATAGTAGCCTATGGAAGAATGGTGTTTCTGCTGAGATGGGTTTGTATTCTAGAAAAATTATATGCTACAGTCTTTTTTTTTTTTTTTTCTTGGGTCAAGAGGTAGGACTAGTTTCTAACTCCCCAGTGCCTAAAACTACTTATTTAAGCTTTGGGCATCATTCATGAAACACAAACAGAATGAATTTGTGTCAATTCTGTAAAGCCATGTTTCTATTTTCTAAAATGTTACTTTGTACAAAAACTTGTACACCTGCTCCCAACCATGTGTAAATGGTGTGTAAAACATCTGAAGGTTTTGTTCTTTTAGGCAAACTGTTAACACTGCATTTTGATAAATATTTACCATAATATATATAATAACATTAATAACAATTTTACCCATACATTACCAGTAGGATTTGTCTGAAAGCTAGGAATATGGCTCTTTTGCATTTATGTAATATACTGGAACCAAACCTGAGAAGGGAGTCCAGGAGATCTCACAGCATTCCTGTACCTCTAATTCACAATTATTTCATGTGCAAGGATAATGCTACTTGTAAATGAGTGTGCATGTACACCCTATTTCCGAATGATTGGAATTCGCATACGTTTAATCTGGAGGACAGTTTTGCGCACAAATTATTCAAGTTTCATGAATGTTGTGGGGGGGTTTTTTATTTTAAATGTAAGCCTTTTCAGTATTAACAATATTTTAATGCTGGTTGATAATGTTTACAGTAGTTAAAATGCTTAAAACTGCAGCCTAAATTATTAAAGTCTCCGCCAGATCAAGAGGGTGCTATAACTCCTCAACCCTCATTGGAAGCCACTGAGCAAGCTAATATCATGGAAATTAAACTAGAATCCAAGAAGCTGGCAGAGGAGGATGAATATGACCGTGAAGATGGTGATGATAAAGAAGACCATGATGGTGGCCATAGTCAAGACCATGACTATGAAGAGGAAAAAGGAAAGGCAAAAGAGGTTAATCAAAGCATGTGGAAGACTAGACTCTTGCCAGAAGAAGGTACTGAACAAAACTGGCATGGTATTTGTTTAGTGTGGTGACAATGTTTGGGGTACGTATCTTTGCTCATGGAATAGTCTTATCTTGCAGATTTTAAAGAACTCTTCACAACTCGTGCCTCTAACAGTGAGGAAGACTCTGGACTGCATACATTAGGCACAAGCCCCTCCCTTCCAGATGAAGAAGAGGGTACATATCACCCTTCTAAAGATACCTAAACTTATAAAGCAAAGGTTATGAATGCTGACAGAGATGAAGCAATTTCGCTGAGGTGGAGGAAAACCTTGTTCATGAAACACACAAGCAGGAACCAAGGCATAAGAGCTTTCACCATTGCACTAATTAAATGGTTTCATAAATTAAACTTTTTTTTTTCATTGTCTTCATTCATTGTTTTTGTCAATTTATATAAAAAGTAGTAACCTGCAATTATTACCTCAAAGAGACATTTTTACCTGATTTAACCCATAAAAATCAGTTTAGGTATAAATTTATGTATTTTTTATATATATACTTTGTCTTTCAGTTCAAGCACATTTAATACAGTTATAAATAAACATTTCCTTTAGAGACATATTTTTTTTACCAATTATTATTCCTCATTTTTCCTTTCTCTTCCTTCACTTTTTTTTCTGTTGTGATAATACCCATCACCAATGCATAAAGAAAAAATAAATAATTAGAACAATAACCAACACATACCTAAACACTTTTTTTCATATAAAAAAAGTAGAGAGAAAAACCATCCACATTCATATCAAACTCTTATAATGACACCTAATTCCTAATAAGTAATTCAATTATTATTTAAGACTAATTATAACTAAATACATAAAAATAATTAATGAATAAATTAAAAGGGATGTAGAATTATATAGAGGTAATTATATGTATTTTATTTTATAATGTATGCTTTGATTTTAAAGTGTCTCAGAAGATGTCCTGTCTACAGTATTAGTAGAGGTAGAGGGCATTTTAAATTCTAAACCCCTTGGATACGTCTCCACAGACGTTGCAGATCTAGACGCCATTACACCAAACATTCTCCTCATGGGGCGGCGGGATGCATCACTTCCGCAGGTGGCGTATGCTTCAGGAGAAATGGGGTGGCGCAGATGGCGCCATTGTCAAAATCTTGTGGACCAGTTTTGGACTCAATTTACAAGGAATTACTTGCCCACACTACAGACACGCCAGAAGTGGCACAAGCCATCAGACTCTCTGACAGTAGGAGCAGTGGTTTTGATAATCGATCCACAACTTCCAAGGGCTCGGTGGCCCATTGGCAAAGTTACCAAGACTGTGTGGTCAGCAATGATGGATATGTGAGAACAGCAGACGTCAGTGTTCAAGGCAAAGTGTATACCAGGCCAGTAGCTGGCCTCATTACATTGCCAGCCTTTGAGGACGAAACCAAAGACTCCTAAAGAATTCCCTTAACTTGCACATTTGCTGCTCAAATGTGGGGGCGGCTGTTGTGAATTCTTTATATTATATATCTTTGATACTATATACTATTATTAATACTTTTATTTTATATCTGGTAAGAGTTTGGATTATGTAAATATGCACTACGCAACTTGTAGTGTGATACGTGTATGGCGTAAGTGACGCATTATTGGTTCGGCATACAGAGCGGACAGAATGTGACGCAGTTTCCTCCTGTGCAGCATCGCCAAGTGCAGGGAAAAAGTTACTGACGACTAGGGCTGGACGATATGGCAAAAATTTATATCACGATATATTTCTTAATTTCGGTCGATACGATATAATTCCGATATCGATATGAACACTATTAAAAAAGCCTCATAAAAACGGCCAAGAATGGCCACAACAGATGTCTGTACCTACAAACTTATGAAAAATGAATTTGCCAACTCTATGAAACCTACTCCTATAAAACTATATAATATTTTAGGAAAAAAATGGCGCAAATAAATAAATGTTCACCTTTTATTGGTATTTAGCCTTCATACAAACAAGAAATGTGAAATCACTGTCAAATAAATCTCAGACTCTCCTTATTAATATTAATATTTTTTACTTCAAACTATAGGCTAACATACCAGTCAAAAGTTTTTGAACAGTAAGATTTTTAAGGTTTTTTAAAGAAGTCTCTTCTGCTCACCAAGCCTGCGTTTATTTGATCCAAAATACAGCAAAAACTAACATTTTGAAATATTTATTCAACGAAGTCAAACGCCACAAATAAATCAATGCATGGAAACACTGGTAATGTATATCGAAATATCGGAAATATGTTTAAAAATCATATCACCGTTATTGAAAAAAATTTATATCGCGATACATATTGATATTGAATTATTGTCCAGCCCTACTGACGACGTAAGTTTATTCCATGACTTTATGTTTGTAATACTGGATGTTTATACTGCTGAAATCTGTTTCTACATTAAGCCGTTTTTGGTGGTTCGCGATCCTTATGATCATTAATTCATCACGTGGAAGTGCCGCTAGCATCGCTGCTTATCTTGCTAATGTTTGTAATATCTCGTTTAAACATGTTTCTGATTCCGTACAATATATTCTACATTTGTCATACTTTCATATCGTAATGAGGATGTTGTATACTGTATCTTAAGTTGTTTATATGCTCCTTTACATCCTGTTTACATCCAGTAATTATTAGTTCACTAATTACATGTTAAGAGAAAGTTGTTGATATTGTTTCATTTGAAATGTGCTGTTTTATTGGAACAGCATGCAACTGTTTGTTAGACATTTAATTATTTACTTCTGTTTATTGTTCATTGCAGAAACTACCTTCAATGCATATCAGTGTGTATATGGTGAAACCCTGCACATAAATGGTGGAAAGAAATTTGATGACTCCCTCTCCCTGATCAGAGTACTGAAGTGGTTAACACCATTAAAGAACCGGCATTAGTGGGGCAGTCCCCAACAAATGGTCCTTCGAGCCGGATCTTGACTGCTTCAGAATGTCATCAGATAGCAAACGAACATCTCCTCCTCAAATTAGACCATCACAGCGATGTCAAGTCCCCAGGCACCTTGAGGATTACATCCTTGACTTCCATCACCGACCTGCCCTTTCCTCCAGTCCTGTTCAGAGGGAGTCAGAGGAGCAGAGAGGAGCAGCAGCCGCAGTGAAGAACTTGTAAAATACATTTTAATGGGCATAATTAAGTGTGAAAATAACCGAAGGATATACAGTCAAACCAAAAATTATTCAGAGACCAGATATAATTTTTGCTATTTTTTTACTAGTGGGTGCAGGACACTATAGTTCATTTATGTAAGTGAGGATAGCAAAATAAACGAAACTGTGACAAATTATACCCAACATTTCTTCATACAGTGGACTACGAGTAAAACTGATACAAATTTGGGACCAAAAATTATTCAGACCATGTCTGGGAAGAAAAAATTAAGTTCAGGTTTGCATGAAGCTGGATGACAGCATGCCCAGGAGACTACAGGCTGTCATTGAGGCTAAGGGTTGCCCAA